AAATAAATTACTGGCTAAGTGTCTTTTTGGTTAATTTCAATATTGTAACTTTTTCAGTGCTTGTGAAAAAAATGTTATACAAATTTTATGTACCCCCTTTAACGGGCTGTATCTCAACAAGGGATACTCCAATGAAGTTTCTTTATATGAAAGATCCTATCTTTTTTTCGATGAGGAATCACCTCCTTAAATGTTTTACACTTATTCAGTTACACCCTGTATTAGTTTAAGAGAGATATATTTGGAAGAAGTACTACATTGAAGTTAGAAAAATATCGTGTTGGTGCTCTATTTTTCCAGCTATCCACGGTTAGATATATTTTTTGAGTTTTTTTTCACATTTTTGGTTTGTCCCGCATTTCAGGTTTATCGGTAATGAGCTGATCAGTTTTGGGCCTAAGTATCGATAATTTTTTTGACCTACTGTTTTTTTCATGACTGGTATCACCATAGTATTTTTGTAACGGGTGTTATATTTATGGTCTAAAATGATCAATTGATTTCTATGCATATATTGGGCTGTGGTTATACTAATAAAAAAAGCTGCCTTGGATCGAATATTTCGGATTCTTCGTATAGGAGGTGGCTTGGGTAGGTATAGTATCTATGCAGAATACATCTAAGAAAGCGTTTTTGCATTACCTCAAGGGAATGCAGATGGGTTTTGGAGGCTCCGCCCCATCCAATGATGCCATAATTCAGATGTGATTCTACCAAACTTTCGTATATCATTATTTTTTGTTCGAAATTGAGAATACTAGTTATACTTTTGAATTTATAATCATTTTAATGAGCTACGCTTTTCTATCTTTCTTTTTTTCTTCATTAGTGAATCAACCCGTAATTCTAATTGCATATGAACTGAAGGAAGTAATTTATCATTATTTCATAAAACTAATTGAATAGTTCTGTCAAGAAATACCGCGGAAGAGAAATTAGGTAGGATCAATAAAACAATGTATCTCAACAGTCGGATAAAATAATTCTACCCCACGAACCATTTTCTCAACTTATTTTTCCAGAGAGAGAAAGTGCATATTCCCATGTTAAACGATTCGTAATACTAGTTTGAATAAAAGTATAAGTGAGCTGAAAACTTTCTCAAGAAACGGATTTGGACACGCTTTATGATGTATCTCTAATCGCGATTTTAAATTATTGATTAAACCATGAACACTGGACACTGTTCTCTGAAGGAATTCTTTTATTCGTATTATATCGAGGATTAACTGGACAGAAAGGAAATTATTTTTATTCAGAAATATCCGATTCTGCACTCACCTACTTCACACGACGATAACACAAGAATTGTTTGTTGATAGAGTTCAGTCCAAATAATGTGGTCAAAGAGTTTAATTGAAAAGAATGCAATAAATGTCATGACAATCTTTCAAATATGATTATTGATACCTAGAGGTTTGTAATTTCTTGGTTATTTTCATTCGTTCTCGTTACAGTAGAGCTTTGAATGAAGAAAACAATATTTTATTAATCATCAACTGCGTATAATATTTCCATAACTTCCAATGGAAATAAATTTCACAAATATAGGTGTGTCTGATGTACTGGAAAATTCATAATGGAAAAAAAAATCACAAAAACATACCAAATCCACAGTCTTCATTTGAAACCTTCCCACACCTAGTATTTTCAGTTCAGAAGATTATGAAAATCGGAAAGACACGTCAATTTCTTTTTCGAAAAATAATTTCAGGAAGTTATATTGAAGAAGAAAGTAATACAAATTATGAAATTTGATTTTTCAGCTGCAGGAAAACCCGGAAAAACCTGCAGCACCACATCATCTGAATATCTTGATCTGCCAATGTCCTCTCTTTCATAAAACAAAATGTAGGGTGTCTCCAGAGGCCCCAATGAATTCAAAACATCGCCAGAACACTTCGTGACATGACTATCGTCAAACTCAAACCAGTCCGTTTCGTCTTTGACCAATGCGTTGTAATGTCTTTTAGAAAAAAAAAAGAAATGCTCTATTATGTGAAACACAGCCGGATAAAATCTGAGGGATTATGTAGTCTATCTTCGTTTACGTGTTATTGTAGCTCCTCTCCAACTATCAAAAGGTAGAAAAGGCAATTGGCGAGGTTGAGAAGGAGACAATAGGAACACAAAGGCTCATAAAATTAGGATCCTGATGCCACAACTGGCTCCTTTGGATGCGGAAGTTTGTGATATTCTTTGAGACGAGGCGGATATCTACCGTCATGTACAATGGCGAATATACAAGTTGGACACAATCTGTGACGGACTATATGGCAGCTAATAAAACGTTCACGTCTACGGTGCGGCGAATAGCAGCGATACTAAGATTTGTCCACCACACTTAGATTCGGGAAGTATTGGTAACCACCAAGTGTTACTGTTTCGATTGAATACAAATACTAATGAAGGTTGAAAAGTCACTAGTGAGACGAGCAAGAAGTCTCGCGACATTCCTTATTGCTTATTTCGTCCTGGAAGGGTATTTATGAGTATCCGCAGCCGCTCAACATAATCACTCGAGCCCTAATGCAGGTGGAAAAAGAAACTACCAGTACCTGTCGACCTAGCTTGGGATGTGGGGGTTGAGCAAACCGGCCATCGGATGCCTGCTTCCACGTAGCCCCGCTGGGGCGCCGTCTCGTCATAGCATCGCCTTGTCACGGTAATGCGGGGCTCTGCTGTGATTGACCTTCTTCCCCTAGCTTCTCGTGGGACTTTTATGGACAGAGTAAACTTAAAAATGTTTTCTTGCCCTGCGTCTACAGAGGAGATGGATGACCTCCCTGTAAATTAAGATCAGGAGCGAGAGCTTCTCAACTCTCCAACTCCTGATCCAATAACTGAACCTAAAAAAAAGGTTTGGTGGTGCAGCCAGGAAACGACTGAGTCGTCTCCTCAAGAGCGGGGTATCTTATGAAACCGCTTTGCACCAAATTCTTGAGCGGCGTACGCAGAATCTGTCTCAGGTGGAGGAACAAAACCCCCAGGCACGGGTAGATCTGAGGCATCGTCAGGTGTAGCTGACGTGCAAAAACCTTCATATGGGAAGGTTGTCGCACGTATCAAGGTGGGAATCTTGCACTTCGACTATCCGACTACCCCATTAACGATGAAACAGCAGAGCATATACTTTGTGCCTGCCCCGCTGGGGTCCGCATCAGGTTTTTAGAGTTCAGCAGAGCCGTACTCTTACCATCTGACCAGAAATACCACTCACCATACAAACTAATGTGCTTAGTTATGAAGTTGGGTTTATTTGGTCGAGTGTGAATAGGTGTGAGCCACAATAAACCTTCGCGGATTGCCGTGGAGGGTCGAATGGACCCACTCACTTCGGACTTAACCTCTCCTAACCTAACTTAACCTGTCGACCGCCTCCTGGCAAGAATTTTTAGTTCCGGCCTGGTTGGGGGCAGCAGACTCCGATTAGGTTTGCCGAGGAACGAGACGTTTTCATTTCCAAAATAAGAGACATGTCAAATATGAAGAATTACAGACTGATAACATCCTTGAATTCGTGTTACGAGTTGTTTGAGTTGTTCACGGCATCTGATATTTCAACGGATATATAAGCTGAGAGTGTCAAAAAGAGTCGATGGTAGTCGGTTTGGTTGGCTGAGTGATTTGCTCCACTCATTCAATTGGCCGCTGTGTGATCCGGTGGTTTGAATCCAGAGGACAGACGATCGATGTTCACTTCCTATAGTCCAACCCGTTGGAGGATAAAACCTCGGTAATCCCCGGTTCGCTTACGACACTCGACCAAGAAGTGAGGCTCTATGAACAGAATATTGCTGCTACGGAGGACTCGCTTCATCGTTACATCTGTCAGTTGAAACGTGATCATGATGCATGATCAGCGGCCAGGAGAAAGTAGGAATTGGAGCTTTTCTTTGAACTTGGTTTAGCTTTAAAACATTGAACGGAGTGACCCCAACTTTATCGTTGGGTTGCAACTCATTCAGCAATACTCTCCAACTCCTGATCCAATAACTGAACCTAAAAAAAAGGTTTGGTGGTGCAGCCAGGAAACGACTGAGTCGTCTCCTCAAGAGCGGGGTATCATTCCCAAAATAAGAGACATGTCGAATCCGAAGAATTACAGACTGATAACATGCTTGAATTCATGTTACGAGTTTGAGTTGTTCACAGCATCTGATATTTCAACGGATATATGAGCAGAGAGTGCCAAAGAGAGTTGAACTTCCTGTCGATGGTAGTCGGTTTGGTTGGCTGAGTGATTTGCTCCACTCATTCAATTGACCGCTGTGTGATCCGGTGGTTTGAACCCAGAGGACAGACGATCGATGTTCACCTCCTATAATCCAACCCGTTGGAAGATAAAACATCGGTAATCCTTGGTTCGCTTTGACAGACGATCGATGTTCACTATCTATAGTCCAACCCGTTGGAGGATAAAACCTCGGTAATCCTCGGTTCGCTTACGACACTCGACCAAGAAGTGAGGCTCTCTAAACAAAATATTGCTGCTCGTTTCATCGTAACATCTGTCAGTTGAAACGTGATCATGATGCATGATCAGCGGCTAGGAGAGGGTAGGAATTGGAGCTTTTCTTTGAACTTGGTTTAGCTTTAAAACATTGAACGGAGTGACCCCAACTTTATCGTTGGGTTGCAACTCATTCAGCAAAATCCCTACATGAAACCACAGATACCACTTTACTCTCGCCTCTACACAAGGATAAACCGATACTTGAGGTTTTCTCCAAAATAATGTAGGCTTTAGCTTATTAAAGTGAATGATCCACAGCCTACCAGCTTGAATTTTGTTTTCTTCAATTGATTGGAACTATTCACTCTCCACTCCTAGCCTGATACAACGAATCAAGCTTGATCCTCTCCGATCATCAAAGTTGGACGATATCAATTGCGCAGCTTTCAGCTGCGATTGAGACGATCTGCTTTCGAGAAGATGAGAAAAACCGAATGAAATAACGAGGCCTTATTCCAAAATTGCGCAGACTCTATCCAGACCACTCTGTTTTAATGGTTCTTCTGTACAATGTAGTCTTTGATGAAACGCTAACCTCCATAGATAAACATAATAGAACAATGCAGAAGCCTGACCATCTTGCGTCTACTCGGAGCACGGTATTTAAATCTGTATCTGTAGAGTAGGGAGGGTGAGTGTAGGCCCACATCACTTAGGCCACATGTGACCCATTGTACATGTGGCCCTCCTGTCCTTTCCAGGAAGGTGGGCAGGTCACTGAGAGACATCTCCTTTATATCGGCAGGTGTAGGCCAAGACTCACCGAACACACACTCTTTTATTGACGATAACTCCTGGCACTCGCACAGGACATGCCTGACAGTCTCATCTTCCTCATCCTGCATGGAGGAGTGTCCACTAGCCCCAAATTGTGGAGGTGTTTCCTTAGTTGATAGTAGCCAGTCAGAAATCCTACTGTTAAGCGTAAATTTTTCCTGGTCATCGCCAGATATTTCTTCGGCACCTGCTTCCCAGGGTCGCCCAAGGTGATCCTGGCAAGCTTACATCCTTTGATTTCATCCCATCTCTTTAAGGATTGAGCATGGGTGTAACATTTGACTAGTTCCGCAATTGTCTCAGACTATATCCAGACCACTCTGTTTTGATGGTTCTTCTGTACAATGTAGTCCTTGATGAAACGCTACCCTCCATAGATAAACATAATAGAACAATGCAGAAGCCTGACCATCTTGCGTCTGCTCAGAGCACGGTATTCTTCGGACCATTGATCACTCTCATCACGGCTATTAGTCATTAATATCGAAGCTATCGTGGAAACATCCTGACCGGCGTGAACCTTTTGGTGAAAATGAATAAATAATTTTTATTTCCTGATTGGATCGCAAAACCTCAGTAAACTGTCTATTCACAATGATCAGAAAATATAGCGGGTATAATTAAATATTCTCCTCATATGATGAAATCCCATCCTTTTAAAAATCTTTTATAACTACAACATTTTAATGACACAAGAAAGTTGTCGTGCAGAACAATTTTTCATAAGGATTTATCAGCAAATCATTGTAAGTGGTATCTATAATCTTGTTCTCTTGTTTTTTTTGGCTTTTTCAATTTATTTTTATTCTGCTTTCGCGCGGTTGAACTGGGACCAGCAAATAATAAAAACTTTCAAAAAATCACGTATTACAATTTATTTTGGATTTATAGCATTATTAACAATTACAAAAGACTCATTTCTTCAGTATTTGTTTCATCCATTTCTCCAAATAGAAACATTTTTCATCTACAAACCATTATCACAAATCTTTCTGTTCACAAGATTTTGGTGGGGGTATGTTTGATATTCAAAAGAGTGACCGACGACGAAGCATCCAGAGTGTTCCTTTACTTACAAAAAATATCCAGAGAATGGAGCCTACTCAACAACATTACTTGGAGTCGAGTTGGAGCATCAGTAGCTGACACAACCTATGGAGGTTACTTCATCATCACTACTGCCTTGTTGATAGGACATATTGCAGGAGAAATACCCACCTCAAAAAGAATAACGGAATATATACTCCTTGGACTGGGAGCAGTACTTTTCGTTGTCATGGGTGAGTGTCAGTTTTATTCGTCTTATATTATTTTGAAATACACTTCCCAACCAAGAAGTTCAGTTCTTTGAGATGTTTTTGATTATATTGAAGTGTTTGAAGTTGTATAAACCATTTGTTGCGTCAAAATGATGAGTAAATGAGAATATATAATTACTGTTTCATACTTCCCTCATGAGCATTTTCTTAGCGAAAGAGATTTGAAACAGTCAGGAGAAAACCCTCTTTCTTATACCGCATATAAATGATATAAAAACAAAGGGGAATGGAGAATAAATGAAAACAAAGGATAATGACAATTTTTATCAACCTAGTTACTTCTACTGAGATCATATTACCTACATTGCAAATATGGTCTGCTGTTTTGTATAGAATAGGAGGCAGTTGTGCAGATCTATCAGATTTTTTCGACTATATTTTACTATAATACTGCAATGTCTATATTGAATTCGAGTTTAGTGTTTCTAAAGGATTTACAAGTAGCTTCCAAAATATCTTCTCCAAATTTGTTGAACTACTATGCACACATTGGTAACAATGTTCCTTTTCCATCTTCAATATTTACTGAAGTGTTCTTTTTGAGCTTCGTGTTACGTAATTCATTTTATTATTAATGAGCTTCTTCTTCTTCAATCATTCTTTATATTATTATATTCATTTTGTTTCTCAATATGTCTCTTTAAAGCTAGAGTAAATTCTCTTGACCTGATCTGATAATAATCTGATAATCTTCCTCCTTCACCATTGAAACTTTTTAACGAAGTATGTTCTGTTATTCGATTTCTTTACTCCACGCCACAAATTGATTTATTCAAAAGTAATTTATAATCAATTGTTCATCATGTTCAGCATTTTGTGACTTCATTTTTTGAATGACGTTAAAATTTCAGTTTCGTTTCTTCTTCCCTGAATTGATTTTTATTTCTTGATAATCATTTTGTATCCATTTTATAGATTACCTGAAATTACAACTTTATTTCTAAATCGTTCCAGACCTACCTTTATTCACCTTTTCTTTTTTCATATCTTTCAATAAACATAACAGATGTACTACATTGAAATATCGTGTTNTTCAACATGATGAGAGAAATGCTGTCATATCCAGCACAGTTACTTTTTATGCCACTGATGTATTGTTGAGTCTGGAGTGTTGTCATTTTGCGAAAATTCAAAGTAGGTCCATTTCATAGGTCTGAGTATATCTTTCAATAAGTGTTTCATGAGGATCAGATTTTGCAGGATGAATAATATTTGTGAAGTGGGAGTTCATTTGATTCAGATCTGATAAATCCACGGGAAGGTTAGGGCTGTGTTTATTTCTCAAAATTTCAAGTTTTTTTAGAGTACCCCAGATCAAATTGGAATTTCTGTTTGTCGAAACAAATTCAAAATAGGCTTTTTTCTTCACATCGGATTGCTCCGGTGGTATAATTACGGAGTTCCTTATAGTTCGTCCAGTATATATGAGATTTGGTTACTTTGAACTTTCCAAGAGGTTTACCTCTTAGTGGACTATTTTCTAATTCTCAAGTTGTTGTTCTCTATTCATATCTAACAGACTTTCAGATACATATCAATGATTCTGGGTAGATATTATCCAAAAATTTTCTCGTGAAAGTCCCCGCTGAATTCACAGAACAATCCGTATAAAGATAAACAGTGAGCTGTTTGAAATAGGACCTTCGTCACTGTTCATAGTTCTCTGAAAACATCCAAAAATCTATTGTCATGTACCGATAACAAAAGTTTCAGGTAGCTTTCATTCACTCTATGACCGTCATGTCGAGCGACACTAGATTTTTCTGGTTTTTGAAATCGAATATATGCGTGATGTTATTCAAAACGAGTTTTATTAGCTCGCTTGATCTGACCGATGTATTTTTTTATTCATAGTCCTCACAGCTTATTTTATTAGTCCTCGTCTGTTCAGTAATTCTTGTCTTTTGGGTTACTTAAAATTTTTTAAGTGGGCGAGAAGCTTCGAAGGCCTCTTTCACTTTCAACTTTTCAAAAATGTGATCTAATCATGATTTTTACGGAGGGATAATGAACTCTGAATCAGTGTCTTCTCAAAAAGTCGAAGATTTATGAGAATTTTTCCTGAATTTACTTTTCCTAATCAACTTATCTACTTTCAGCTATGTCCTTGATAAAATTTTCCTCAATATCTATACTTGCTTCTTTAATTCCATTTGTAAACATAATATTCATAAATATGTTGTTGAGAGTTGAAACAAAGACCTCTACCTTAGATTTATTTGTTACCAAAATCGCATATACATCATCTACATATCGGATCCAAGTCCGTGGATAGTAATGTAACTCCTTGTTTGTCATTTCATCTAAAAAGGGGCCAATGGGTTTTTCTTTGCCGTGCATTCGTGCTGTCTACAGAAACAGTTGAACTGGAAGTAATTCTGTTCCAGATTTTTGTCCGCCATAAATTCTCCCACTTATCAAATTGCTGGATGGCTAACCAAACTGCTAAAACTCTCTCATCTCACACCTGAGATGAAGTCAAAGATGAAATTAAGGATGAAAAGGTATTCAAAGTTCATTGTCCTTCTGTGAGAACCAAGATTTATTAAAGGATTTGATTGCATTTATGAACAGTTGAACGTGAAAGAAACCTTTCAAATTTCTTGCTCACTTCAACAAATGTTAGGTAATCCTTAAGACACATGAGTCAGACTAAGCAAGCTATTAATACTCGTTTCAAAGAACATATGGCATATATACGATTTCGGATATCAGAAAAATCTCGTTTCACTCAATAAGTTGAATTGTTGAGATAGGTACTCGATACTAGATTTTTTGATGTTTTCGAAAGTTTGGGAATGACAAAGTATGGCGTTAGAACTATGAATAGTGACAAAGGTTATATTCCAAACAGACCATTATACATATTTCTGTGAATCGCTCTGTTGAAATTAGTGGGAACTTCAATGAAAAAATTTTCCGTAAATTTCTAATCAAAATCATTGATATGTATCTGGAAGTGAAAGTGAAAGGGTATCCTGTAGAAATATAGATCAGTTTCAGCGTAAGGTGTACTCGTACTTCATCTCCTGGAAACGCGAACTTGGTTGATGAAACGCGTGTCGAGAAGAGTGTGGCAGTTCTGGTATTTGGAACTTCTGTCCAAGGGCACTGAAAATTATGATCCAGGGCTCATTCGATTCGGAATGACNTCCCGAATAAGAATCGAAATGTTCACCTCGGGCTCAAACGATGTTGATGTAGAATTAAGTGTATCCATCCACCCGTTACGGAATTCCATCAAAACCTTCTGTTTACTTCCCACGATAAAGGGTATGGGCTATCGATTGTTGGGCATATATTGACGAACTTTACATGTTATATATAACCTTGTTGACGCCCACAAGTCACTTGCAGAGGCTGTCGAATTTATTGGACCGACAAATTTAACAAGCTGTCGAGGATTTTAATGTTGAAGCGGACTTTGTTAGAGTGTTCCTGAAGATCGATCAAGTATGGGGGTGACAAGAAAGTCAGTTGAGGTACATATTGAAACACATGACTAGAATGGGAAAGGGAATATTTCTCAACGATGTTCTTGATGAAAACGATATAGGAAACGAATGCAATAATTTTTAGGATTTCACCATCAATATTCATCTCTTCAGTTTCAGAACTATAATGTATTAACTTTTATAGTTTCTAGAGTCACAGTTGGGACAACAAAAGGATACTAGTGCTTCATATTCTTTTTTGAAACAACATTTTCTTCTACAAGCGAAAAACGAAAACCGGGAGGTGGGACTTTTTCTTAGGAAATTTCCTTCTTTTTAAGGATATTTTTACAGTATTTTCCGAGATATTTGCAAAAGACCAAACTCCTCTTTTTTTACTGAATTGTTTATAGCTTTTGCAATTTTTTTGAGCCACTCTTGAAATTTTTCAAAAAGTTGCTAGAGGTCATTCCGAATCGAATGAGCCATGGATCATAATTTTCGGTGCCCTTGGACAAAAGTTCCAAAAAAAGGATCTTCTGACCCAGACTAACAGTAATTGTTTTGGATACATTCTATATTCTCTCGTCAAAGTTCAATAAAATTATCATAAAAAACATAATTTGTACTTTTCCCAACACTAAACAAATATTAGATCGATTATGATATGAAGTCATTTCCGAAGTTACTGTTGACCATAGAAATCCGTTTCGTGCAATGCAGCTGCCAAGTACTTTAGTCGTACCTTGAATACTCCATTTACGCATTAATTGTCGATCTAACTTGATGCTAATTAAGTAGAAAAAAAAACAGTGTTCCATAATAAATATATTAGTTAATTCATTTCCATGTATACAATCATGAAGGTTGATCATCCAAGATGATATATCCTAGCAAGCATGTTATAATATAATATAAAACAATTATCGTTATATAATTCAATGATTATGAACTCCATTTACAGTTCGTTCTATATGCAGTGACGGATCTCACACTAACACGAAGGCTGCCAAGCAGTGTGAAGGTTTCTCCAGGCTGAGAACAATTCTCTCAATTGTAAAGATGATGAAACTATCAAAATCCTATTTTTGATATTCAGTGAACTCAATCAGTTTTTCGAATAATTTTGTCAAAAAATTGTGAAAAAAAGTTGGAACACATTTTTTTTGTTATGTAGCTGCACAAGAACTGCTGAATAAATCGAAAAACGATCTCTGGGAGTTTACTTCTTAGTGAAAACGTTATAAAAACTAATTGATACAGTGTATTGTATGATTTTCACTATAAAGGGTTATACAGAAACCGCGACACGTGTTTCGCTATACAATAGCTTCCTTTTTATGATATTACTTTCATTTCCATTACGAATGTTTGCAGTACAACCATAATGAGAAAATGCAGTGTTCATAATCGAGTAGTAATTTCGGATGGATTTTTTTCTTTCAGTTTGTAGGTATCTGGAATATTTTTTTATGCATGATCTACTCATCTGTATGGGAGTTATATTGGTTTATTCAATGTTTTCCTTCTTATCTTCTTTCATTCGATGAGAAAGTAGAAAAATTGAAACTCTTTCAAAATTTTACATTTTCAATACACTGAATCGCCCATTTTATTGAGCAGGTACAGAGTGTTGATTCCAATTCAGTTTTGGAATCAGAAACCTTTCCCATCAGATTTATTTCTCCACCTAGAACGTTTATAGGACCTAATCCTTCTATATTTGCGCATTCAGTTCCCTATGGGAAATCATCGAGTGGGTTTCCTCTGCGAAGGTCATCCAAAAGAAATACCTTTTCCAAACACCACAATTGTAACATCCTTTTCGACGCGAATTTCACCAACCAAGTTGGTGTCTGCAGCAGCTGACGCAGTCTATTTCTTCTTTTGTACTCAAAAATATAATTAATATCAATGTATTTCAGTATTAGAAATAATTGTCTTGTTATGGGTGTTTATATTTGAAGCGTACCTTTCAACATCTCCTTTTGAGCGAAAATGTTCCTTTAGCTTTATGATGAAGAAAACAATAATGACTGAATTCATTCCATATTTATCTAGATATTATATTCACAATTACACATTCGATGTTTGTGATCAAAACCTCACAACTTCTAGTGTATTTTTTTCAAACCACTCTTATGCTTCGTTTTTTTGTTTGTTTCAGGCAGTCTTTCATATGCTGCCTTGGATTCTGTTCCACCAAACCTAATCGATAATGCTGCCATAGTAGGAACGGTTTCTCTGGTCACCGCAGGGTTGTTTTTGTTAGATATGGCCGGACCAAAAGCTAAGAAGTCCTCCAAGGTATCACCTTCAGCTAAGAAAATCATCAAACCTACTGAACCCAAGAGTATCAGTCAACAGGTATATGACATTGAGAGGGAAATTGAAAATTCTGAGAGGAAACATTTGGATACATTCGAGCCGAAGCCGAAAAAAAATGGTAACGGTGGGCAGAATGGAATCAGAAATGGAAAAGCGGCTAGGAATGGAATCAATGGTAACGGAATGGAAATGGAGCAGCGGAAATCGAGTAAAGGTAAATACAACTATAACAGTTGCATAAAGTCTTTCACGGCTTGAATGAAATTTCACGGCTGGAATGCAATTTGACAGCTACGCTGCTGGTGGATATTGATCGGAATCGTATATGAGTCCAGTTTTGACCTTCTTGAAAACTGGATACTATCTTCTGTTCACCCGTATACTTTCTTTTTTTCTGTTGAGCTTGTTGGGATGTTTATAGATCTCAAAAGCCTCTCTATTCATTCTCTATTCATTTGAATTAGGCAGTAGCTACGCTTGTGCTTAGTACCCTGTAATTAATATTGCGTTTAGTAGTTCCAATGTAAACTGGTCCACAGGAATTGGGACTTCGTGGACTCCAGAGGCTCCTTTTTTCTTGCCGATCTGATAGTGTTGCGTAGTTGAATAGTTGGCTTGTAAATGTTATGACTCTTAAAAAGTTTTCTAATACGGTCCGTGAGTTTGTGTATGTAATGCAAATAGACTTTGTGGTCGAAGATGGAGTATTTTTTCTAGGATGTAGAATACGTTTGATTTTCTGCGCTGTTAACCTATTGGTCTGCAGAAATTGGTCTAGATGACGAAATTCTTTTTAAAGAAATTGTAGTTCACTATTATTGTTTTTGCCGAATGAGCATTTAAACTTGAATTTTCATCAAAACAAATTTCATTCATTCAGTAATTTATATGATAAAAAATACTACATATACATTTATTCAATGAATTCAGCTCTTAATATCCTCGATAATAAAAATGAATTGACTCATTTATTGGTGTATATATCTAAGGTTTGGCATTTTTTGAAGCAATGACAAATTAGAAAAAGTTCAAAAATGGTATAGATATAAGGAACATGGCAACGGGCTAGTCATGTATTAGTATCAAACATTTTGTCTCAAAAAATGATATTCCTGGAAATATCAAAAAGCAGGTTGGTGAAGGTAGTTATAGTATTTATGACTACCGTAGAAATTTCATTTCACATATTTGTTTCAAGTGCATAAGGAAAGCCAGTAACATGGAGTTTAGTTTGAATAGGTTTCAGAAATGCGTCATTCATTTGTGTCACTTCCATTTCAATCAACCTACAAGTCTGCCGGAAACAACTGATATTTCTCCTAATTTTTCAGGTTACTTACAAATGAAGGATGACTTTCCCAAGAGATTTGGCATATATGGAAGAGATGTAACAGACGGCAATGAAACTGATGAAACAGAACTTCAACTGCCACCTGAAATGGAACCCCATTCTCCGGTTTGGAGTCAAATCAGAAAGGGTAGACAAACGGGTTTTTCGGGATATAGGTTATCGAACCTATGAAGTAATCGAAAGTATCTGAAATAACAAAAAATCCACATTGGTTCACTATATTACTTGAATTGAAAAATCCATACAAAAGACTAAATAACAATTTCAGATGAATTCGAATATTACTAAGACTGAGAACTGAAACTTCTGTATATCAAGTTTGTTTATATTCATAATAGATTTCATTAATATTATATATCCTAGCTTATATCCCAGATCTCATAAATAATAATCAGATCATTTACATTTTCTCTTTCTCGCTCAGTTATGCGTTGATACCGTAGATATATTCCACAGAAATTTTCATATACTCTCATTTTTGTTCAAGAAAAGCCGTGTTGCCGTGTTGGTCGGTGGTTCAAGCCCCAGTCTGAACAATCGATTTTCAATTGCTATCGTCCAACCCGTATTAGGAATCACACGTTGAAAGATAAGACCTCGTTGACTTCTCGTTTCGACTTCTGGGGGTTGTCGTTCACATGTCGTTGGTGTCCAGATCATCCAATTCAGGTCAAACGAAGTTGGTAATAATCGACCTACACTGCTCGCCGTTGACTGATATGCCATGACCAACGTCGTATCTGTGACTGTAGATTAGGATGGGTCCATCCTGTCCTTTCCACGAAGGTGGACATGTCACTTGGAGACATCTCCTTCATATCGGCAGGTGTAGGCCAAGACTCGCCAAACACACACTCTCTTATTGACGATAACTCCGAGCACTCGCATAGGATATGCTTGACAGTTTCATCTTCCTGTTCACACATAGAATAGAAGTGCATAGAAGTGTGTTCACTAGCGCCATATTATGGAGGTGTTTCCATAGTTGACAGTTGACAGTGGCCAGTCAAAAATCCTACTGTTAAGCGTAGCTTTTTCCTGGTCATCGCCAGATATTTCTTCGGCGCCAGCTTCCCAGGGTCGCCCAGGGTGATCCTGGCAAGATTGCATCCTTTGATTCCACCACATCTCTTTAGGGATTGAGCATGGGTGTAACATTTGGCTTGTTTCGCAATCGTCGAAGTCATCAGGTCGTAGGTGCCACTGAGTCCTAAAATTCTTAGTCGAACCGCTTCCTTGGCTAAAAAGTCGGCAATGCGATTATCTTCACTCCTGTCATGCCCTTTAACCCACCTCAGGATAATGTTATTATCTACCGAGGCTTTGGCTAAATGTTGGTGGCACTCTATTACTAGCCCTAAGGTAACACGTTGTCTGTTCAAGGCTAATAGGGCTTGTCTGCTGTCAGTACAGATTGTTATGTGTTTAGCAGAAATTCCTTTCCTGGTTATTTCTTTTGTGGCGTTAGAGATACCAGCCAGTTCTGTTTGGACCACGCTGATTTTTTCCATTCACCGCTTAATCCTTAGGCTTAGTGATCTGGAGTACACTCCACACCCTGAGCCTTCTTTGGTTTTCGAGCCGTTTTTATATGCGTATTGCATTTGTAGCATTTGACTCTGTGTTCTGTTTTATTTTGTATCCAGAACTATCCCCTAGTCTATAATAATGCAAGGTAAGGTAAGGTAATGCAGAGAGGTAAGGTAAAGTATCCATTTTTTGACGTTCACGAAAAAGTAAAGTATGAATAATTGCCATAGTGATTATAGGTTTTGGTAATTTTTAGGTTGGCAGGAATGCATAAACAAATATTGACATTTCCAATTTCTCTTCTGGAGATATCGATCCATATCTTTTTTTTTAACAATGAAGGCGCTAACAATTTCACTAATTGTAAGTAAGATAGACACTTACTATTGACACGATCGCGGCAATTTTAGTATTTATATTCATCAAAAGAAAAATCAAATTTCACAATATGACGTTTAACTTTCTTTGGTGACATTACCTTTACACCATTCGGATATATCCGTCAAAGTTCGTAGTATGGCGCTTTCTGATTGGTCGGAGGTGAGAACGCAACGCAGAAAGTTGAAATCAGCCAACTTTTTACCTTGCGTTACCTTGCCTTACCGACGTTACCTTACCTTACTTTTTATCTAGAACGCAAGTGTGTTTTCTCAATACTTCAACTTTCTTACCTTACCATACCTCGTTACCTTGCGTTTTTATAAACTAGGGGTATGTTCCAGAGAAGGGGTGATAGGACTTATCCCTGTGGACATCCCCTCATGACCAGTCCTCTCACTGTGATTGATAATTATTGCTCTACTAAAGAGCATCTTGAGTATTCATTCTCCTACTACCAGGGGTACATTCCTGGAGTGTAGTTGCTGACTAATTGTTGGGAAGGTTATTTTATCAAACACTCTCTCGATATCTATGAATATACCCAACGTCGTTCTCAAAGAAATGTGGATCGATGACGCCGCCAGCCTGAAATCGGGTGCATTGGACGCTTTTGGATCTCATGTGGATTGGTAACGTCCCAAATTCCACAATTTTGTTCGTTCACGTACCCATTCATCCAGAAATGGGCTTCAACGCTGAAGATGAATTTTCGATGAAAATTGGTGTCAGTTGTCAACTGCTCCAGAGTCCATTCAGCGAATACACGTTGTTGTTCCTGGCCTAAGTCATGACGCAAAATTCGCCAATTTGTGGTCTGCGAAAGGTTACACTGCTCGCCGTTGACTGATATGCCATGACCAACGTCGTATCTGTGACTGTAGATTAGGATGGGTCCATCCTGTCCTTTCCACGAAGGTGGAAAGGTGTAGGCCAAGACTCGCTAAACACACACTCTCTTATTGACGATAACTCCGAGCACTCGCATAGGATATGCCTGACAGTTTCATCTTCCTGTTCACACATCCTGCATAGAAGTGTGTTCACTAGCACCATATTATGGAGGTGTTTCCTTAGTTGACAGTGGCCAGTCAAAAATCCTACTGTTAAGCGTAGATTTTTCCTGGTCATCGCCAGATATTTCTTCGGCGCCAGCTTCCCAGGGTCTCCCAGGGTGATCCTGGCAAGATTGCATCCTTTGATTCCATCCCATCTCTTTAGGGATTGAGCATGGGTGTAACATTTGGCTTGTTTCGCAATCGTCGAAGTCATCAGGCCGTAGGTGCCACTGAGTCCTAAAATTCTTAATCCAGCCGCTTCCTTGGCTAAAAAGTCGGCAATGCGATTACCTTTACTCCTGTCATGCCCTTTAATCCACCTCAGGATAATGTTATTATCTACCGAGGCTTTGGCTAAATCTTGGTGGAACTCTATTACTAGCCCTGAGGTAACACGTCTGTTCAAGGCTAATAGGGCTTGTCTGCTGTCAGAACAGATTGTTATGTGTTTGCCAGAAATTCCTTTCCTGGTTATTTCTTTTGTGGCGATTGAGATACCAGCCAGTTCTGTTTGGACCACGCTGGTTTTTTTTTCCGTTCCCCACTTAATCCTTAGGTTTAGTGATCTGGAGTACACTCCACATCCTGAGCCTACTTTGGTTTTCTAGCCGTTTGTGTATATGCGTATTGCATTTGTAGCATTTGACTCTGTGTTCTGTTTTATTTGTATTTTGTATCCAGAACTATGTTCCAGAGGAGGGGTGATAAGACCCCTCTCTGTGGATATCCCTTCATGACCAGTCCTTTCACTGTGATGTCTTCTACATTAATACTTATTGCTCTACTAGAGAGCATCTTAAGTATCCATTCTCCTACTACCAGGGGTACATTCCTGGAGTGTATTTGCTGAGTAATTGTTGGAAAGGTTGTTTTATCAAACGCTCTCTCGATATCTATGAGTATACCCAACATCGTTCTCAAAGAAATATGGACCGATGACGCCGCCAGCCTGAAATCGGGTGCATTGGACGCTCTTGGATCTCATGTGGATTGGTATCGTCCCAAATTCCACAATTTTGTTTGTTCACGTACCCATTCATGCAGAAATGGGCTTCAACGCTGAAGATGATTTTTCGATGAAAATTGGGGTCAATTGTCAACTGCTCCAGAGTCCATTCAGCGAATACACGTTGTTGTTCCTGGCCTAAGTCATGACGCAAAATTCGCCAATTTGTGGTCTGCGAAAGGCCGAGTACGACGCGAAATTGACTGCCTTGGATTCTCCTGCACACTCTCACAGACTGCGGCAATGTTTTCGTCATATCTTGCATTCCATCGACGTACGGGTGTTTTTCGATAGTATATTGAGCCAGTGGACTTGAATTTATTCACCACATTGGGATTAGTCCTCTCGGTAAGACGACTATGGAGACCGTAAAATTGGCGAAACGCGTGGTACGTTTCCCAGACAGAACGCCCATATTGATAAAACAATTGTATTATTCAAATAAATGACAACTGATTTGACAGTTGTTACTTCAACAAGATGGCCGTTATCAATTGCCAAAGTATGGATGTCTCTGTTAGGACATCCTATACTTGAAACTAATTAGTACAGTTTACTGTGTGATTTTCACTACAAAGGATTTTACAAAAAACGAGACGCGTGTTTTGCTAAACAGTAGTTTTCTCAAGCGTGTAAAACCCTTTATAGTGAAAATCATACAATAAGCTGTATTCATTAGTTTTAATATGGATTTTCATCAAGTATCGGCCAGTTCTATTCAATTATCCTATACTTGTCCCACATTGAAAAAATGTGATCATAACCATTATATTCCTGTAATAAACTGTCTCTCAGTAGATATTGCTTTTTGGGAGTTCAATTAATTCTCAGAAAATATGGAGATCTTTTCATTCTCGTTCTTCGAAGGAATTCACATTTCTATCTAATTCTTCAAATCTGTTTCTGTGAGTGATTTCGTACCTTATTAGTCTAGCCACTTTTCTTTCGTTATATCTGGTACCGACTCGTTTACCTCTGCCTTTTTTTCATAATTGTTTTCTATTTCAGTCATACCTATCGGTTAACCAAGAAATTTTGACAAGAATGGCTCGTGTATGATTAGGAAGCAACCAATGAGGTTATTATAATCCAGGGTAATAGGTATCCAGGGAATGAAAAGACTGCAAGAATCATTTTACTATAGCATAAAAAAATCAAACACCTAGTATCTACCGTCTGTTTGCTATCTAACAAGATTGATCGTGAGGGTGTTGCCAAGTTGGGTTCATCATGCGGGTTTCGATCTGTTATTATTTCAACTATAGCCTTTGTTGTGATCATTTAATTCTGGAGTGATTTTACATTCACTGTACATAAATATGCATCTCTCTTCAGCTGAACATGTTCATAGCGATATCATCGTACCTTCTGTTCTTTTCAAATGCAGTAGTGGATATCGATGACGTCATATTATCATACTGCAATTTGATTACCATCGAATAATAATCCGGTCAATCTAGACATTGGAAGGTACATGAATTTACAACAAGTTGCAAACGCGTGTAATTGTTCAAAACATAGTTAAAAATAAAATTTTGAAATTCCGAATGATTGCAATGCCTGGAAAAAAATTGATTCGAGGTCTAAGGTCAAAAATCTCGAAAAAAATTGGTTTTTCGCCATTTTAAAACTTAACCTTAGATAAAAATTGTAGAACATAAAATTCTCTACAAAAAATGTATTCAACTTTTTTTCTTAGAGCCACCGTTTCTGAGATACGACGAGTCAAAAAGTTGTAAAAGTTGTAATCGTCATTATATGCACACGATTCCACGACACCTATGAGATAGTGTATGTACTAAGCGCGTTTTTTTAACGTGGTTCATCCAGTAGGCCTATTCCACATATCTGTTGTGATTCTGTCAAATTGAAAACTTGCATAATAAAATATATTAGGAAGGGATGGAAATTATAAAAGCGATTGAAATTAAAAAAATGTGAAAATTCATTCATCTGAGTCATAACCTTCAAATACTTCTTCTTGTCGTTCTTCTTCTTGGTCTTCTTCTTCTTTTTGATCTTCTTGATTTTCTTCTTCTTGATGTTCATCCTGGGTGTGGGTAAACTGCGTCAAGAGTGATGTATCGCATGTTTCCTGGTTGGTATCAAATGAATCTTCCACTATTGGTGATTCTTCATTAGAACATGACTGGCCTTGACAATGTGTACATCCCAGAGAACACAACAGTCCAACTTTTTTAAAACCACATTTAGCGCTGCATCCCATTTTACAGTTGCAAAAAATTGTGTTCAGCAGTTTTTCCGGCGCAGGTGGGAGTAAAGTCTGAATAGGTTCTAATGCATTGTCGACCAACTTCCAACCCCAGTCTTTTGGGTCTAGCTGATAACCAAGCCACACTTGAACTTGGTAATATACCCGGAAAAGATGTTGATGAGCAGCAACTGAAGTTGGAGGAAGACAAGCTAATTGCACCTTCAATTGCAAAAAAGTATTGATACATTTTTTGTAGAGAATTTTATGATCTACAATTTTTATCTAAGGTTAAGTTTTAAAATGGCGAAAAACCAATTTTTTTCGAGATTTTTGACCTTGGACCTCGAATAAATTTTTTTCCAGGCATCGCATTCATTCGGAATTTCAGAATCTCATTTTTAACTATGTTTTGAACAATTACACGCATTTGCAGCTTGTTGTAAATTTATTCACCTTCACTCTTATTTTTTAGTCTAATTTGACCGGACTATAAGGACCAACGAATGAAGAAAAGAGAATAGAAACTTTCTATGTTTCTTACCACTTTTATTTATAACTAACGTTACTGCAGTTTCGTCCTATAAGGACATTTTCAAACTTATACATTAGTTTAATTTTAAACTTTCTATGTTTTTACCACTTTCATCTGTAACTAACATTACCGCAGTTTCGTCTTATAAGGACATTTTCAAACTTATACATTAGTTCAATGTATATGTTTGTATGTATATACATTAGTTTAATGTATAAGTTTGAAAATGTCCTTATAGGACGAAAATGCAGTAACGTTAATTACAGTAACGTAAAAACCATAGAAAGTTTCAATTCTCTTTTCTTCATTATGATTTCCTACCACGTAGTAACGGCTACATCCATCAATTTAAGGACCATCAAATTTAAATTGTGCCAAATTTTATGTAGTTTTAGAAAATCTATAAAATGTAGGCTGGTGCAATGTTCAGATATTACAAAACTATTCAATAGCTCGCTATTCAGTTCTCAGTTGATTTCGTGTTGCTTGAAATTCCTGCATGAATACTTTTCGAAAATTCCGCAGAATTTGTGAACAGTTGATATAACAGTAACGTTAAGACATAAACTAACAAATGAATAAATGTATTTTTGAACTACTTCGCCTTTCAATTAGTAGAGTGATCACCTCATTTCAATGATTGCATGTTTCATTCGACGAATCTAAATTCGTGGCTTAGCTATGGCTGAAGCCTTTTACTGAGTCCAGAGTTGACTTCTGCGAAGGCATTGAAACCCACAGAATATTTTTATTTCATAATTTACAGTTCAAACTGTGTATAACCATATCTAGTTCATTATATATCTATGATTGACAGTTCAAACAGTTAATTAGCCATATTCAATACTTTAAACTGTCGAATATCTATATTTGATAGTTTAAATTATCGATTAGCTATATGCAGCAGTTTAAACTATCGATTATATTTGTAGATATTCGACCAATTAGCCATATTCGACTATTTAACCATATTCGACTATTTGAAAAAATTATCTGTAGCTCTACAGCGCCTTCGTGGATATGAAATATTTTCATGAGTAATACATTCATTTTCCACGAAAACTAACTGAAATGAAATTCGTAAGCATATTGTCCATTTTCAGGGCAATATGGTAAATACGACATAGTTTCATCGACGATTGTTCTTCCAAGACAAAAAGAATTGGAGTATGAAGGAGATCGTCCCCCTAGCCGTCCTGGTGATCCAGGGTTTGTTCAGTATGTAGCACAGCATTGGGGGGAAGGAGGTGGAAAAACTCCTCGTCACAGTCCCACAGAAGTCTAAAATACCTTTTTCGTTCAGGGTCAAGAAACCCAGTTATAACTATGTATGTTTTACTATTAAGTTTTTGTTTACGTGTTTGAGTTTTTGTTTTGATAATTTTGAGTTTGGAATAAAATTATTGAATATTTAATGGGTACTTACCTATATCCTTTTCTTTTGCAAAAAAAAGTGAACGATTTGTAGATCGGAATTGTATTGTCTTCGTAGAACACTATCTTCTCGAGGAATTATATAATTGAAATAGGACAGGTCCACAAAATGTGATTATTCCAAGTTTTCAAATGAATTGAACACCATTTTGTCTTTTTATGAATTGGACAAAATGGTATTTTCGGGATAACTGAATCCGAATTCGGGATTAGTTTGATCTCATCAGATCAGAAATGTGAAGGTCACTGAAGATAGTTTGAATTTTTGGAAAAAAAAATATTCATCGTTCCTATATATGTCTCGAATAATTTGAATTAGGGTATATTTTAAGGTCATTCGTGTAGGTCATATTATTCGTAGAAAATAAGTGAATGTGCCTAACAAAAAACTCTTCGAAATTCAATTTATGGTGCAGGTATCTCGAAAACTCATTAGGTGCGTATTTTTTATATCGATTAAAATCGGTTAGATTCATGAATTTTGAACAAATCTAGAAAAAGTATATTCAGTGTGGTTCGTTTTCGCATTGGAGTGTGTTCAGGAACTTATTTTATCAAAAATATTTCATCTAAATCCTAAAATGCATTGTTTATTTTTGTGAATTACAGGGTGTGAAACTTAAAAAAAGCCCAATTTCAAATCGATATTGTAAATATCCGTTATCATAACAATCAATGTAACTTGAACAATGGCAAACATTACCTACGAAAATAATTGTTGCTTTTTCAACGTATAGCACGCTAGTTGTTATCAATTTTTCATATATTTTTTTCAAAAAACAAAGCTAGGCTTCAAAAAACAACAAAACGAAAACATATCGAGGATCAAGAATGTTCCGGAAAAAAAGGTTTTTTGGCTTCCTACTTCTCCATCTTCATACAAAAATTTGCTTTCGACAGTTGGTAGTACTGTCATCTTATGGCACTCCTCAAGTTTGAGGAGTGCACCATCTGCCCGCGAATAGATCAAGCAATAATGTTGATATATCAAAGAAGTTACGTACAAAGCCATCTGCCCGCGAATAGATCAAGCAGTAATGTCGATATTTCTGTGAAATACAGATCCCGAGCTTGAGAGTTACAAACAAACAAACATACATACAGGTGAAGCTAATAAAAGCGTGTTAAAAAATAATCCTGATTCTCCAACAAAATATAGCTCATCTCCATTATAAGCAAAATGTGCGCGATTATTTTCCAGGACGCTGGATAAGACTGAGTGGCACCTCGTTCACTCGATTCAAGTCCTTTAGATTTGTGTGTGGTTATATATAAAACGATGTTCATATTGTAAGTTCTAAGAATACTCATTAATGTATTTCGCGAAGTGACACTGTGAGTGCTCCAGAATGTTCAACAGGTTCAAGATGTTCCTGTATGTACATTGGCGACTAGATTGATCCTTGAAAATTGAGCACAGTGAAAGGAATAACAAACTCTTTTCAATGACCTTTGTACTTATATAAAAAATTTAGGAGATGGCACAACCACTGAAAGTAGAAGATTTGATATGTATTTTTGGTTTAAAAGTAAGTTAGTATTTTTGGATTTCAACAAGTTATCTGTCACTTTGTAATGCCCTGTGGTACGTTTTTCATGGGTCATCCGGTATGTGACAGTGTGACAGTATAGCAACGTCAACTATTATTGAGGTCTAAGGGATGTTTCTATCAATTTGCACTTTTAGTCTAATTTGAAAAACATGAAAAATAAAGATAAAGCTACTGAAAATATGTTCGAACATATTTTCTAATCGACTCTCTACCGCAACCTGTAAGGGTAAGGGTTGCGGTAGACCGCTCACTTTGGACCTTACCTAACATATCCGAACCTAACCTATTTTCAGCGTTGAATTACAATTATAATCATTGAAGTTACATTTGTCAACTGGCATCATTGTCGACGGCAATGCTGGAGGCAAATTATGTCTGTGGATATAAATTCGATGATACGTTGTTTCTTCTGATAGTTTGAGTTAGTGGTAGCGATAGGAAAAAAGAAATGATTTTTCATTCATTAATGTTTGTTGCACGATAGAGTGCGGTTCGTTAGTGTGTTAGTCAGTTTCTGTTGAAAATATTAAAATATGTGTTGAAATGGAAGTTCAGTGTATCATTTCTAATTGAAGTTAACACATTGCCGTAAGCAGTGACTGTTTTATGGAAAAGTTTTTTCTCTTCAAGAACTTTTTCGTCTCAATCTTCGAATAATTATAGTTTTAATGTCATCAATAAACAACCGAATTTCTCCTCGATTGTTTTGTTTATATATTTTATCCTATGTGAAATCCTTCGAATTTGTCTAGAGCTCATTCCCAATTGAATGAGTTATTTCTCATATTTATCTTCATCTTTGTTTTTAACTTGTTGATTGGACTATTTTTCCAACTAGTAGTATACAATTCTGAAAAGTGAACATCGAAATTGAAATAATCCTGTTTTCCCGCGTTTCATTTCCAATTTTTCATTTATTTTTCACCAAATTGTTCAATTGTAGACAAAAATATTAGTTATCAAGAAATAATTTGATAACAGTTTGAAAAAAAATTCCATCAGTTTAACGTAAGCATTCGTTGCCAAAAGAATGACTTATTTCATAAGTATCGATTACATTGATTTTCGATGACCTTGAACGCCTATTATTCCAGAATAACTAGTAAAGTAGTTCCATCAATTGATACTGAAAAATAACATATTGACTAACTTTTGGATATTCGTTTTCATTATGTTACAGGGCATACCTAGATAAAACACAGATGTAATAATAAAAAATATATTACTGAATACAAACACCACTTTGAATAGGTACAAATGAACAAATAGTCTGATAGAACTCAATAATCACAATAGACTCAGTTCAAATAACCGTCTCAATCTGAGTCTATTGAAATAAATCAGAAAGAAATTTCCTGAAGTATGTTGGGTTATGATAACAATGATAATTTACTAAAACAAAAAGTGAACGGATATATCGATATATACTAATAGAATAATTACAAGATATGCAGACTACACGGATTTCCAAATTACATTATATTATTTTTCATTGAGTCAATTTGTGGTTTTTGATCCTTGTCAAATTATAATCGTACCTCATAAATGCATACAATTTTCTTATATTACATTACAGATATTTTCTATTCGTTAAATATTATAATTATTTACAAAAAAATGTAATTATTTCACTCGAAGGCATACTTGGGGACAGGGTTCGAATTCAATATTTGTTTCAAACAGCAACATTTCCACTATGAGCGACATATCAGCGTAGATGTCTGGTACTGTGTTCTTGTTCTAAATTGATATACTGTCTAACTAACCGAGAAATTTCATGGGCTTGTTCAGTCTGTAACCGAGTCACTCGTTGTTGTAACAAATTCCCACATTTCATATCCAAAAACAAAGCTCCATCTTCTGATCTGACTTTTCTGGTACTGATAACCTCAGCAAATGGCCAATGGTGGATAGTCTCGTGTGTAGCCATATCCAGGAAATGCACTCCATTTCTGTTCAAGGCCAAGATGTGCTCTTGCCAGTTTTCATTTTCTCCAATTACTCTCTTAACAGCAAAAAATGAGCTTCCGAACAACGACCAATTACTCAGAACTTGAAGGACTCTCAGTTTAGCCCTGGAAACTGGTAAGGCTGCTGCTTGACCCCAAGATGTTTGTACTAGGGCGAGCCACTGAGGTGGTCGCGGTTCCCTCAGCCCTAAAATTGGTTTCGGTAGCAAGTATTTTACTTCTTTCAGAGTTGGGGAATGCGCGAAATCTGCTGCTCGGTGGAGTAACGCTGCTATTAGAGACATGTCTCTTATGATGCTTGGTGGTAGATTTGGGTTACCTAGTCGAAGAAGAAGCCCTTCGAGGTAATCTGGAGCCACTTGGTTGAATAAAACTTCGGTGTACAGAGGACTAGCATCGTGCTTGAGAGGATGGTACCAGACGGATCTGAAAAAAATATATTTATGTGATCAATTAATAGATTTCTGGTTTTGGAAAAATATAAATGGAATTAAAAATGCGAGTGTTCAGAAGGTATAATGAATTGTCTTTATAGCAGAGCAAAAACAATTTGAAGTATAGCTGATTAAATCTGTTCTGGAAGATAAAGCTTACCCAGATCCGTGTGTACATTCAACAATAAACGCAATAAAAAATGAACAATCAATTAGAACCCAATTCAACAACAACCAACTCAACAAGCCCTAACATATTCCGCAACTAACGTTATACATTATATTTCAGGGCTATTGGGAAAAATAAGACCAAAACCAAGAGATAATCACTCTCTATACCTCATCTTGAAGTCTGAACTACCCCAAGTACCTATATTCGGGCCTTTATGGTTCACAATATGTACCTCAAATCTACTGACTTGTCTCAAGAATTGTTCGGCTCAGCGGCAAATGATACACAATTGTGTTAAAGTATTTCACCAGCACTGATGCATGGTCTCTTATTAATAGTGACTTGGAAACATTTGTTAGTTACTAACCATTGTCTCGAGATTCATCCCAGTGAGTCCAATGTTGTTACGTTCACGTCTAGAAATGACAGTAGAACTGAATTGTAGAAATGTGGAATTGATTTCTGGGAATTCCTGGAGACGATATGAGGTTGAGTGGAAGAACAGGACAATCAGAGATTCATCTCGGAAGGAACTAAACTTCGACTTCTACTTTCATTTACTTGAATAATATTTTATTTATTGCTTGTAATAATGATTGTTGAAAATAATAAACACGATTATTATTAATATATGTTAAAATTCTTACAAAACAACAAATTAGGAATAATCAGTTTGATCTTCCTCTCGAAGATGATCACTTGGTGATCAAAAAACGTGTCGAGGTTTTGAAATAACGGTTTGTTGTTGGAAAAAATCTCCAGTAGTATTCATTACTACACCAATAGTTCCAAACAGTGAATCACAAGGTGACTATTCCCACAGTTAATACGTGTGGGTGCTACTTTCAAGGTCAAAAATACGCAGATGGATTCAAAAAACAAAATCGTACCTGCAGAAAATCAGATAGAATGGTTGAGCAGCCTTATGCAATTCCGTGGTTACATCCAAGATATACTCATCAGCAGCGAGTGGCATAGTGAAAGCATCTCCTTCTACGATACAGTACAAACTGAACTCTTGTTGCTCCGCTTCGCCAGTTATGCCAATCAGACCGCAAAGCTCACTGATAACGTCAGCTACTACCGTGCTGCACCTGGTGTTAACTACCCTCTCTGCACCTCCTGGAAGTCGGTATATCTGTCTTCTGGCACTCCTTCCGGCACTGACCGCTGTCACTTCTTCCACCGACGGTACGTTTTTCCTTCCTCCACATCTTTGGGTTTTCCTGAGGTTCGAAAGACATACCGCTGCTGTGCCATGACAGATCCTCCTTTTATCATTGGCAGCGCCTGTGAGATGTTCCATGAGGAAGGGTAACAGATTGTCGGAACAGGCGAAATAGGCGGCCACAATGGAGAGAAGGCGCCATGCTCTTTGGCAGGACTCTGGATGTTCGGATTTGTTGTTCGTTGTTTGCTTCATCAGCTGGCAGTAGACTTCGTCGCGAAGTTGGGCGAATTTGTGACAGTGCTGAAAATAAGGAGATATTTCATACATATCAGAGAACAAAATTATTGAAGAAACGAAAACAGAAGTATAGGAAGAAGAAAACAACTTTATTGAATCGTTTGGTTCTTCTTTTTATCGCAGCATGAGCCAAAAATGAGAAGGAAGGTTATGTCCAGAATAGAACAAGCAATATGTATTACGTCAGATTTGTATGAGTATATTCGTAAAAGTTGACGAAAGGTGTTCATTTGAATTTATTTTTGGTAATACATTGTTATTGTCGAAATTATTTTTCGCACCGTTCATTCAAAACAAAGCGCCCTATCGAAAATCATCAAAAGACAAAATATCCTTAGAATAGTCCAAGAAATATTCCCTTAAATTTTTGGGCATGTTTAAACACCCTGTAGGTATAACATGATATGAAATAAGAGTGATTTTAATCAGAATCATGTAGTAGTGATATACCTGTACTTTATTTCATCTGATCTGTACTAAAATTCACATCTATCTCGAATTTTCACTAACATTTTCTGTTTTTGTTTCAGAAAGCGAGTACTCGTATATTTTCCTCGATTGTGCTTTATTATAAATTAATCATACCTTGTATATCCATACGAATTGTTCAATGAAGTTTATTATTATTATTATCATTCATGAACTAAAGAAAACCTTTACCTAATAACCGTAGAAATTTCAGTCTAATACGATTTGATACTGAAAGAATCCATATTTCGAATAAAGACAATAGTGCTCTTTCCGTTGTTGGAGCTATCGAGTTTAGTTTCTTACAGAAAATATTTTAGCGGAATGGAATGAAATTGAACAAGGAGGTTCCGTGCATGTGCTTTCCATTAAAATATTAATTGAGTACTGTAGAAATATAGCGACAGGAGAGAAAGCGAGAAGTACCTTATTTCTTACCATTAACACTGTATAAACGCATTTAACTTCTGACATATCCGGGGTCAACGGTAGATCTCCACAATATCTCAATATACATTCGAAACATTCCATTGCCAGAGGAGACAGTTCTGGATCATCCAGCCTCAAGAGTGATCCGTCAAGGGGAGTACCCTGCCATTTGATTAGATCTGTCTGCTGCTTCCATGTCCATTCCTTTCGCTTCTCCTTTGATTTCATTGTGGAGTCCATTTTCAGAACTTCCAAACTGAAAGAAAATCATATTTAAATTGAATGTTGATAACACAAAGTTTGTAAAATTCTCGAATACAGAGGTACACTTTTAAAAAAATGGCTAGTCTTCCGTTCAGTCAATCGTCTATGAAATATGAATCAAGAATTCTATAACTTTCATACAATATGAAGTGGAAAATAAAGGAACGTTAGTGATTGTAAGCAATGATGTATATATTTTATTATGTGCAATTGATCATATGTTGAATGGTTCTAAAAATTATCTTGAAAACTATTTTAATTAAGAAAATTCTGAACTTAAATCACAAAAATACGATTGTTGAATATTTCTGCAGCTTTCTAGCTGCAGTTAACCAATCTTGACCTTCACCAAATGGTTACAATTGTCCATCAAATATAGACAATTCAATCAGAAACATAAATAGTCAGTTGGCTATAAATCAAATTATCGAAAAAAATCGTTGAGGCCAGTCTCAACTCCCTACAGTGTAGGTTAATGGACTGACACTACTCCCCTGGCTAATACCACGATGGGTGTTGGATTATATCCGACGGGTGCCAGTGCAGGATTCTTCACTGAAGTTATTCCAGCATATACTGTTGATATATTTTCAATTATTGGAACACACTTGCAAACTTTCGGGCTGTTTGGCCGTCAGGGCAAGGTAGTATCTATCATCAACAGAAAGTCAATGCTTCTTATCAGTCAGTGGGCTATACTTGAAGACTGGCAGTAAACAAATCTAAAGAAATAAACTTTAAACGTTCAAGACAATCTCGAATATACCTACAAAGTAGGTTGAATGGATTGACGCCTATAAGAAAACAAATACTCCGCTGGCTATTACCACGAAGGGCGTTGGATTATATCCGACAGGCGTCAGTGCAGGAATCTTCACAGAAAATTTCCTGCATATACAATTGGCGATACAACTGAAAGAGTCGATCTTCAATTTTGGAACGGGCACACTTGCAGACCGGTTTCGGGCTCATTAGCTACTCATCAGTGCAAGATAGTGGCCATCATCGACCTAAAATCAATGATATTTCATAATTGAAAATCGGAATTCTCTTAGAGTATTTCATTCCTCTTCGTAAGTTGGAGTGAACAACAAAATATCACTCCATCTAGTGGACGAGGTACTGCATATCTGAAATGTGCCCGATTCCTCTGAATAAGGAAGAAAAACTTTCTTATTAGTCAGTGGGCTGTGCTTGAAGACTGGCAGTAATAAAATCTAAAGAAATGAACTTTAAACGTTCTAGCCAGTTTCGAATATATCTACACAGTAGGTTGAATGGACTGACGCTTATCAGAAAACAACTACTCTCCTGGCTAATTATGGAAGGAAGTGATATGGTCTACTTTGGCTTGATCTAATATGTCTAAAATGACGGGCTTATACTTGTTGCACGATATGTTGGAGAACATACCCTTTACACTATGCAAGGAAGGGTTACAAACTCAATTATTGTGCCCGATTCCTCTGAATAAGGAAGAAAAACTTTTCTTATTAGTCAGTGGGCTATGCTTGAAGACTGGCACTAAACAAATCTAAAGAAATGAACTTTAAACGTTCTATCTCGAATATACATACACAGTAGGTTGAATGGACAGACGCCTATCAGAAAACTACTCTCCTGGCGAATTATGGAAGGAAGTGATATGGTCTACTTTGGCTTGATCTAATATGTCTAAAATGGCGGGCTTAAACTTGTTGCACGGTATGTTGGAGAACATACCCTTTACACTATGCAAGGAAGGGTTACAAACTCAATTATTTAAGAATCCTTGGAAATTCACAAGCATAAACAATGCGGGTGCATCCTGTTAAATGATCAAATCGATTCAGTTTACTCACCGGTTTTTAAATTGGCACATCCGCATTGTAAATTGTAAATTCAGGTACTCAATCAAGCCAAGTACCTTTATTAATACCTACAGGGGTGGTATATAAGGGCTAATGTAATGAACTATTGTTAGTTTATTCTATATGTTTGAAAATGTCCGTATAGGACGAAACTGCATAAGTGGAAAATAAAGGAACGTTAGTGATTGTAAGCAATGATGTATATATTTTATTATGTGCAATTGATCATATGTTGAATGGTTCTAAAAATTATTTATTCATTAAAGAACAAAGTAATACAAATCATGAAACAAAAAAGATTAATTGGCTCTCCGGGACGACTTCATTGATTTCAGTGGCGCATTTGCTTTTTCAGCTGCAGAAAAACCCGGAAAACCTGCAGCACCACATCATCTGAAGACATTGATCTGTCAATATCCCTTTTTTTATAAAACAAAATATAGGGTGTCTCCAGAGGCTCCAATAAAATCAAAACATCGCCAGAACACTTCGTGATACGACTATCGTCAAACTTAAACCAGTCCGTTTCGTCTTTGAACAGTGCGTAATAATGACCTGATTCAACGCCAGAACCACAGTAAACAATGACTGCATGAAGACTATAATAATGGTGCTAGATTGAAGTGTTCATCTATTTCCAACCTTCGTAAGAGGTTGGTGCATCCGTCAGAGGTTGAGTCATGTTTGAAGATCATCAGTGTCATTATTAGATTGACTGGAGCTTCAGCTTGACTTGCTTTCTTATAATAATCAATTATTTTGTTGCATGTTTGGCAATACAGTTGATCATCACCCGTTAAAAGTTACATTTTCAGATGATTTGACAATAAGCTTTGCACGGACTGGTTATCAGTCATATTAGGAAAAGCTAGATGAAGTTCTAGGAAATCCTATACGTTTTTGCTACCTCTTGAACATTTACTACAAAGTAAACAAATGAGGAATTTTCCAGCAAAAGATCTACAAACACAAGACGAGACAGACTGTAGGGAATCATTCAATCCAGAGGGGTCAGGAGTATTGATTCTGCTATTTGTTTGCTCATGAAGAGTATTCAAAAAGAACCCCAAGAATTCGGAGAAATCCTCTTGTTGTACTAACGAGTATTTAGTGGACTTCAAAGACTCCAGGAAATCGGTTGGTGGGAAAGGCAATTATTTTTTTTTGTTCCATAATTAGAGGGGTCAGGAGTATTGATTCTGCTATTTGTTTGCTCACGAAGAGTATTCAACAAGAACCCCAAGAATTCGGAGAAATCCTCTTGTTGTACTAACGAGTATTTAGTGGACTTCAAAGACTCCAGGAAATCGGTTGGTGGGAAAGATGATACATTCTTTCGAAAATGCAATTCTTAGCCGGCACAAGGTTTGACTTCTGAGGGTGGTCGCTCATGACGACTTTCATGAAATATCTAGCGTTTGATAGTTCCTATAAAAAAATTAGACATAATTTACACACATGTTGTTTTATATGAACCATCCAATTCTAAATGAATATTTGACTTTTTTACCAAAGACATCAAAATCTTGCAAACTATTTGAATTAAGAAAATTCTGAACTTAAATTACAAAAATACGACTGTTGAATATTTCTGCAGCTTTCTAGCTGCAGTTAACCATACTTGACCTTCACCAAATGGTTACAATTGTTCATCAAATATAGACAATTCAATCAAAAACATAAATAGTCAGTTGTCTATAAATCAAATTATCTAAAAAAATCGTTGAGGCCAGTCTCAACTCGCTACAGTGTAGGTTAATGGACTGACACCTATCATAAAACAACTACTCCCCTGGCTAATACCACGATAGGCGTTGGATTACATCCGACAGGTGCCAGTGCAGGATTCTCCACTGAAGATATTCCAGCATATACTGTTGATATATTTTCAATTATTGGAACACACTTGCAGAACGGTTTCGGGCTGTTTGGCCGTCAGGGCAAGCTATTATCTATCATCAACAGAAAGTCAATGCTTCTTATTAGTCAGTGGGCTATGCTTGAAGACTGGCAGTAAACAAATCTAAAGAAATGAACTTTAAACGTTCAAGCCAATCTCGAATATACCTACACAGTAGGTTGGATGGACAGATGCCTATCAGAAAACAAATACTAACCCCGGACGGGGTTATCACAGACCGATCTCGGTTCACATGCGGTCGTGATGATCCAGAAATAGCCCGATCAATGTGCTCTCCTCAGCGGCTGAGCTGGCTGAAACAGTCGCCCTGCAGAGGCTCAATGAAGGAGTCGAGGACCAAAATATTCTACCTGACGATCGATTTGGTTTATGGAGGGACCACTCCACCGAGTTACAGGCTTTGATGTTGGTTGAAAACACAATCAAGGAGCTCAACAACAATAAGAGTGTTCACCTGGTTCTCTTCGATTATTCGAAAGCCTTCTACCGTGTTTGGCAGAAAAGCCTTTTTCACAAACTGCTTGAGGCCTGATATGGTAGATCTGGTTCTTTTTGAAGGGTACGACCTTTCAGACCAGAGTAGAGGACTTCATGTCTGATAGAAGAGATATTCTCGCTGGAGTGTCATAGAGGGCCGTACTTTCTTATACGTTGTACTCCTTGTACACCAGCGACCTTCCAAGTTCCGAGGGTATGAAGGTACATATCTTTCCGCTTCTTTCATGAGTCGTGAGCTCGGGTCCTCTATATGCAATGCGCATTGAACGACCTCGAGCGATGGTACTTCGATTGGAAGATCACAGTGGTCCCGAATAAAATTCATGCAATAACCATGGGAGGATTTCTGGAAGGGAAATCGATTGGAAACCGCTGGTAAAGAACCTCAGTCTTTCGATAGAGCGCAGGCTCACCTGGATCCCGCACATCGAACACGTGAGGAGCGGATTTCTAATCTGTACTCTTTGATCAATCTTGAGTCCAAACTCGACCTCAAAAGCAAGGTTTTGATCTATAACACGATCTACACAGCCTGTCACCATGGATGCTTCAGGCATCTGGGGACAAACCGCTACTACGAGTATCTCTAAGTTGGAGAGATTACAAAACAAGATACTACGGATAATAGTGAATGCTCCGTGGTTCGTACGACATGAAGCCATCCGCAGTGATTTTCAGCTGCTTTCCATCCAACAGTCCATTCAGTCGAGGAATCGGCGAGTT